TATGACATAATATACTATGCTAATTTGTAACATTAAAAATATATTTAAATTTCATTTATGAATTTTTTTTTGTCATTTGATGAAAACTACCTATGTGCTTATATAATTTGTAAATTTAAAAAATTTATATAACGGATGAGAAATTATCTTAATCACCTCAATATTTGCATATTTAACCACATTCTCCTACCTTCTGACTTAAAAATCACAAGTCTAAAATCAAATACTCTCTTTGGGAGGCCAAGGCAGGAGGATCATTTGTGCCCAGGAGTTTGAGACCAGCCTGGGCAACACAGTAAGACCCCATCTTTACAAAAAAAATACAAAAAATTAGGTGGGTATGGTGGCACGTGCCTGTAGTCTTAGCTTCTTGGAAGGCTGAGGTGGGAGGACTAGTTGAGCCCAGGAGGTTGAGGCTGCAGTGAGCCAAGACTGCACCACTGCACTGCAGCCTGAGCAACAGTGAGATCCTGTCTCAATAATAATAATAATAATGACGATAAACCAGATATTCAGCTATAAACAACTCCCAACTAATGATGGTTTGACTTACGATTTTTATCAAAACATAACCCTATTTAAATTGAGGAGTATCTGGACTTAATGATGGATGACTTAAACTTTTGACTTGGCTTTATTGGAGTACTAAATGCACTTTGGACTTAAGATATGTTCAACTTATGGATTTATTAGGACACAACCCTAAAAAACCCTAAAAAACCATTTAAAATGCATCTGTCTGCATTTTAAACTGGAATCACAAGTTCAATTTATTGCATTCTCTAATTATGCCAAATTAGATATTTCAAGTGTGTTGCCACATACTCAAACATAATTCCCCAACATCACACAAAAATATTGGGATGATGGGTCCAATTGACTTCAGCATCTCTGTACTTAATTCTAAAGTACTAGAATTATTTCTCTGGAATAAAACACCCTCACCCACTGTGGGAACTATACTGCCCCAGGGAATTTGGGGTGAGTGTCTGTCACCTGAGGTTGCCTATGACCAAATTGGGTGGGGCTGTAAGATGCGGAGCTGTGGACACTGCAGGGGGTTTCTTCATGCCACTGAAAGGTTGAGCCACCCTTTACAGTCCCGATGTTACTGGGGACCCCAGGCGTGTATCCCAAGCAGGGGTACCCCACCTCTCACCCCTAGATTCATGCTGTACATTATCTATTTTTCCCACAGCCTCGCTTCTGGACCAGATTCTTTTTTGCTGCTTGAGTCTGTTCCCAGTTGTCTTCTAGCCTAGGCCATAAAAAATGCCTACAAATATTTCAGTAGAAGGTGGCTGGATTCGATATCCTCCTCATTCCCTTTAACTCTATAGCCTGTCTCCAAAATTAACCTAAGGATAATCACCATAATACTTCTGGAGCCTAGGACTAACAACCTGGATGGGGAGAAGGAAGAGCTTTTTTTTTTTTTTTTTTTTTTTTTTCCTTTTTCTTGGGTGTAGGCAAAAAGGGCTGCACCTCCCTTTGTGCACCTGCTCCCATGCCCCCAGGCCTCCTCTGGCTGCCCCTAGTGTCCTCATCCTGCCCCCAGAGATCTCCCACACTTCCCATGGGATTCTACTCAGCCATGGTCTTTTCCCCACAGTGACAATGCCTCTTTTCTTTCCCAGTCACGCCTCCCATTCCCCTAGTACTTAAAAAAAAAAAAAAAAAAAAGAGAGAGAGAGAGAGAGGATCTTGCTATGTTGCCCATGCTGGACTTGAACTCCTGGGCTCAAGTGATCCTCCTCATTCAGCCTCCCAGGTAGCTAGGACCACAGGCGTGCACCACCATGCCCAACTCCTCAGTCTTCTCGATCTCCATGAGAAGTCAGGAGGTGAATGGGCATTGGAATGAATTCATACTAGTTGGTGAGAGACTGATGGCCACTCAGTCCTAGAGGTGTAAGATTCAAATGAGGCTCTTACTAACCTAATGGAACTGTAATAGGAATTTGAGTCATTGTGCTAAGGTTGAGTATAACAAGTATTCAAGAAGCCCAGGGAGTTACTGGGGGGAGAGGGGGAGAGCATACCACACCTGCTAACTCACCCTCTGAGTCTCCAATTGGCTAGTTTCTCTCGAGTGCTTCCTGATTTTTACTTTTTTTTTTTTCCTTCAGACAGGTCTTGTTCTGTCGCCCAGGCTGGAGTGCAGTGGCATGATCTCAGCTCACTGCAACCTCTGCCTCCTGGGTTCAAGAGACTCTTGTGCCTCAGCCCCCTGAGGAGCTGGGATTACAGGCATAAGGCACTGCACCTGGCCTAATTTTTGTATTTTTAGTAGAGACGGGGTTTTACTATGTTGGCCAGGCTGGTCCCAAACTCCTGACCTCAAGTGATCCTCCCGCCTAGGCCTCCCAAAGTGGTGGGATTACAGGTGTGAGCCACAGCACCCCGTCCATTTTCACTTTTCTTACTTCATTTCTTATGCAAGGTATTTTCTGAAAGCCTCACGTTTTCTATATCAGCTTCAAAAAAAATAAGGAGGGCCAACTAGGAATAGGACAAGGTAGAATAATCACTTGTGTGCTGAGAAATGTTTAACCACCAGTTCTCTGGAGCCCTGATTTGTAGTGTTTGCCAGTTTCTGTGTAAATACTCCCACCATGGCCAATTTGAAACTACCAACAGTTTAACTGGCTCACAATATTCCTAAAACTTGAATAATTGGCTCTTATGAGCTGGTAGGAGCTGGCTTCAGCACACTGCTGGATCTACATGCATCTTTGTTTCTTGTTTTGCATAAAAAGTTTTGTCTTCCCAAAAATGAAATAAGCTCCCTAAGGGATGGAATTATGTTCTAGATCTCCTGTGGGCCCATGGTTTCTAAAACAATTGTAGAGACAAAAGATTTAACCAAGAGTCTGTTTCCTGTGGACATACTGTGTTCTTGGGGCTTGCACAGCTGACAGCAGGGAGGCTGCCCCAGGGGTGGGCATGGCGTGGGTTGCCTCCTCCTTCCACCAGCCTCAGGGAGAATATAGGAGCCATAGGACACTCACTCTTGTTGCCCAGGCTGGAGTACAGTGGTACCATCTCAGCTCACTGCAGCCTCTGCCTCCCGGGCTCAAGCGATTCTCCCACCTCAGCCTCCCAAATAGCTGGGACTACAGGCAAGTGGCACCACAACCGGCTAATTTTTGTATTTTTAGTAGAGACAGGTTTCGCCATGTTGGCCAGGCTGGTCTTGAACTCATGGCCTCAGGTGATCTGCCTGCCTTGACCTCCCAAAGTGCTAGGGACCACAGGCAAGCACCACCACACGCGGCCCCATTGGAGTTTTTGATGTAGGAGATCAGATGTCCTGGATTACAAGGCAACACACATCTCCAGTCTGTACACGAGAGGAGGATGTCCAGAAATCCTCCAGATCTCATGCATGCACCGTTGTATTTTCTCACTCTTAGCCATGGTAAAGCTGTGGTGTTTTTTCTTCATAAATGATTTAATATATCTCTACGAATTCTGGGATAAGAAAATTTATAACCACACAGCAAATTCTTTGAAACTAAATTTCTAGAGAATGTATACAAATTTGCTTGTATCTTTGACTTACTTACAACTGAGATACAAGAAAGGCTAGTGTACAAATTAGGCAAGTTTCTGCCCTGTACCTCCAGCTACTGGTACCATAAATAGAGGATATGTTGTGACTTTTTGAGTTGAGGAGGGCTTTTATGATCATATACACTCTACTGTCCTTTCACTTAAGAGGCATTCATTCATTCATTCTTCGTTTATTCAGCAAACATTTATTGACTATATACTACATTCCAGGTACTGTGGGGATATTGATTGTAATGACATGCTCCTTTATTGCCAATATGCTTACAATCCACTAGGGGGAGCCAAATATATAAATAAGCTTAAGAATGACGTTGAAGGGGCCAGAATGGAAGTCTAGAAGGTGTGGGATGGGTGGAGAGCATCAGAAAGAATTGGGCAAATCTGTCCCAGGACTAGGTCAGAAAAACACCTTCCTAGGGAAGGTGCCCCCCGAACATGTGTTTCTCGAGACCCCTAAGCCAAAATAAGGAAGCTGCCGAGGTGAGCATGGAACGGTTAGGCGTTTTGTATGGAACAAACTGGGGGGACCCCAGATGAGACCTCTGGCCTGGACCTTGTGATTCACGCACAGGCTCATCTTACCGGCTACCGGGTCTGAGAAGAAACCACCACCCTGCAAGTTAACGGGGATCCCTCACACGAGAGCAATGTCTGAGCAACACGGTTTTTAAAAATGATCTCCTTTATTGCCACATTCATATAAAACATTTTGATTTATTTGGGTTGGTAAAAGAAAGCCACAGTGTATATAAAGAAAATTAAAGGAACTTAAAAAATATATGGTTTTAGTGTTCGGAAAAGCAGTTACGGATTGCTCTCTTGGTTCAATTATCCAAGCGGTCGAAATTCTGGGTTTGAAACTCTTGGAAGTCCTCAGGGATGGTGTCTGCAATAGGAATGCGCACAGGGAGGTTAGCGAGGTTCCTTCCACCCGGACCCCCGCCCGCGGCGCAGGCGTCCCGTAGGGGGCGCTGTTAGCCCGCCCAGGAGGCCCCGCAGGCCCTCGCCGCCATCTTCTCCTGCAGGCTGCTTTGCAAACCGTTGGCTTAAAGCCCGGGAGTGCTCCTTCCCGGCCCTACAGAAAATCAGCAGGCAGAGTGGGTTTTGCATCTATGGTTATGTTTTAACTACATGAAAAAATAAAGGCTTCCTGTAAATTAAATCTGACTGGATTTCTCACTGAACCCCAAACCCTAAACCATGCAGTCAAATTCTGTGGGTCTTAATTTCCACATGCATAAAATAGGATAAATGCGATCTGCTTTTTCCTTCTGGTACACAGGGACTATCAGGTTTTAATGACTACGTGGTATGAGCGTTGGGCTTTTGGGGGGAAGTGCGGTATAAAAATAAGGTGGCAGTATTTGACTAATTCTAGTAACAATATTGAATAGTAATGAGAATGCACGTTACCATTGCAGCGATACTTGAGGTTGGACCAGATGATGTTTTCTTGAGAGAAGCAGAAAACGCCAAGTCGGCCTCCACGCATTGTGGTGTCTATGGTGACTCCAGAGTCAGCCACCAACTCGGAGCCTTCATAAAATCGTACCCTGTGGACAACACAGCCGGAGGGGTCTCCATGAAATCCAACCCGGGTAAAGTGCTCACTGTGAGGCCCAGGGGCCCCGCTTCTTATACACACCTGTGTCTTTACTCTGTTTTAGGCTCCATTTCTCGCTGACCTGGATTATGCTGTAGCTGTTCCCCCTTACTTACTAGACTGGAAGTCCCTGAGGGCAGGGACCGTTTGTGTGTCCCTGTGTGTGTGTGTATGTCTGGGGGGGTGTTTCTTCCCAACTTCTGTCTCTCACAAGGCTTAACATGATGTTGGGCACACTATCAAACTTGAGTTAAAAATCAAACCAAACCTGATGTCATGAGTGAGAAAGTTTTGTGTCTTCATTGTCATGTGAGTCGCCTTGTCTATATACCATGCTTAAAGACTTCTGCTTTTCCTTTGGTCTGATTTCTCTCTTTTGGTGGAATCTCAGAGCTTTGATTCTCCACAGGATTCAGCTCTCCCTAAGTAGAGTTGGAGGAATCTGTGTGGACACTTTGGGTTGTCACAGGGGCACTGAGTGATGGCAGCCAGGGATGCTGGATGGCGTGCAGTGCCCTAGAGAGAACAATCAAAACCTGTCCTGCATTCCCTACACTTCTGGAGTGTTCCTCAGACACCAGGGTAGGTAAAGAGCAACTATCAGGGCCTAGAACCTGACTTCCTTTCACTTGTGAACATCAAATATATTTTGCACACATTTTAATGTAAACTGTATTTTCCAGGGTAAATTGAGAAAACTACTGAGTACTTTGTTTGAAAATTAACATTCTAAAATGTTCACCATTTGAGAAATTGACATTGCTGTCATCAACACCAGTGTAACATTTAAGTCACTGACACAACAGTCTGTGTCACCTGCATAGTGATTCTAGGTATGGGTGCAAGTGTCTATTTCATTTTGTCTTCTGGTGTGGCTGTGCTCAAGTATTTAAATTATCTTGTTATAAGTTTTTCTTATTTCGCTATTATATTGTTAGGGCTCAGACTGATTTTCTAGATTATATATGTAGGTAGGTTGTAATTTCTATGATTCCATTTTGTGACGGAAAAGGGGGCATTTCAAAATATTATAAAAAGGGGGCATTGAGCTTAATAGGGCTGAGAACATGATCATCTTACTGTGAGACAAAAAGAGTACATTTGACATAATGTCACAAAAAGAAACAAAACATGGATTTGCCCTCATGACTTTCTTTTTTCCGAGGCTGTTTTCCTGCCCTGAGGAGGAGAATGCACTCAGTACTGCTTCCTCAATATACTACATAGGCTAGGATGGGTGTTGAGCTGCAAGTTCAAATGAAGAACACTATCTACATTTCAAAGATACAGCCCTAAGCCTCCTAACTCCCGAGAGAGAATACTAAAAAAAAAAAAAAAAAAAAAAAAAAAAAAAAAAAAAAAAAAGTCCTATAAAGAAACAAGACAGACTACTTTGGCTTACACGACGATTACTTCGTGCCATGTGTAGTAGATGCCAGACTTTGTGCTAGGCACTGGGGAGACCAAGATAAAATAAGATACAGCCAGGCACGGTGGCCCACGCCTGTAATCCCAGCACTTTGGGAGGCCGAGGTGTGCGGATCACAATGGCCAACATGATGAAACCCCATCTCTATTAAAAATACAAAAATTAGCTGGGTGTGGTGGCACATGCCTATAATCCCAGCTACTTGGGAGGCTGAGGCAGGAGAATCACTTGAACCAGGAAGGCAAAGGTTGCAGTGAGCCTAGATCACACCACAGCACTCCCATCTGGCAACAGAGTGAGATTCTGTCTCAAAAAAAAAAAAAAGATACCAGTGCTGCTCTCATGCAGTTTGTGATCCAGTAGGGAAGACAGACTGTAAGGGGCATAGTGCAGTCAGGGTGAAACGTGCACTAGTAAGTGATTACACAGGGCCCAGAGGTGCCACAGGGGAGGGTGTGGAGAAGAGACCCTGCCACACCTCTTACCTCATACCGATTGGCATGTCTACCCTCAGGTTTCTCTTCAGAGCATGGCAGGAGGGTACAGCCATCCAAATGCACCAACCCCACAACGCTGGGTCCTCCCCTCAACTCTGTTCCTTCTCTCTCCATCTTGGCCCTTCTATCCTGTCCGGGTGGTCTGTCTGAGTCTGAGTGCCTTCTCCCCCACTTCTTTTCTAGGTTCTCCACCCTGCAGTCACAAAAGTCCTGGCATGTCCTTGGGGACTATCCTAGGTCAGAACTGCTCAGGGAAGTGAAGGCTCTGGGATGCAGAACAGAGGGTGCTTTGCTTCTAGGGCAAGGTAAGGAGATGGGGCCTCTACCTACCTGATGTAGCCCACCTGGGGCCTGTGCTGTAGGAACCAGCGGTAGGACACCTTGTCCTTCCAGCCCACATTCCTGGAATCCTTCCACAGCAGCCTGACCTGGTCACTGGTGTCCCCCGTGTGCCACAGGGAGTTCCGGAGATGCTCCCCTGGACCTGTCTTAGACTTCACAGCCTGGACGATGACACAAGCAAGGTTTTAGGACAGGACCCAGGCACCACCCTTCCCACTTCCTGGATCTGAAGTGATGATCCAGGTTACAGTCATGGTTATCATCCGGCTGCCTTGGATTCGAAACAAAGCATAAACACTTAAATGTCATATCTATGGAGGTGACCCCAACCTTTTACTACTAAGCCTTGCCCAGTATTCCACCACACATTCCATGTTGTTCCTGCTGCAAATCCACTGCTCCCTACATTTGCCCAATGAGGGCTCCCATCAAACGTCTGGCTACTTAAGTCAGCCTTGTGTCCTAGCAGGGGTGACAGAAGTAGCCCATGAGCCCTCCTGTACAAAGGTGGACCTATCGATGAAACTGATTAGCCAGTTTCCAACACGGTGTGCCTGAAGGTGCACTCTAAACCTCCCCTCTCTCTGACCTCACGTAGGCTGGGATTCCCACCATTAGAGGTTAGAATGTAGCTGGTACACAGGAACGAAGGCAAGGCCCTGGGTCAGCTGTCGTCTTCCCTGACTCTAACGTTAGCATAAATGCATCAATTTTTTAGATTAAGTACCATATGGGAAAACACAACATCTGGAAAAAGATGAAGGGTCCAGAAGAAAGGGCGATGAATGACTTCAAACCACCAATACCTTGAGCTGAATGCCAGGTTCTGCAACCGCTCGGAACGGGGTGGCTTGCCAATATGTCTGCTCCGTCTGCTTCCACATGACCACGTAGAAGCTGGAGCTATCTTGGTAGCCAAAGATAAAGCCCGCATAGTCATCATCTGTCTGGGTATTTACATGGAAGGTCCCTTCGAAGTCAACTCCATTAAAAGCCGTGTACCCTGTAGGGACCAGATAAGATTAGAACAACAGACAAACCACACCAGTAGCTGGAAGAATTCTATGCGAGTGGCAACTGAGGCCCTGGACGTACCCACTGCCAGGCCAGGATCACTGTTCATGGTCTGCACAATCTCCATGCCCTGCAGAGAGAGGTGAGGGAGTTCAGAACAGTCTTGAAGGGGTCAAGTAACCCTGAGGAAGCTGAAAACCTCAGGCACCACGAGTGAGTGGCCAGTGATGTCTGACCTCCATATAAAGATTTCATCATCAGAATAGTTGCTCTATCGTGTTATGTGCTCGAAGAAAGCATGTGCTTGTAAAAAAGGTTAAAATAAGCTCAAAGCTGAATAGAAATAAGTTTGCTGAGACTGTCATTTAAGCTGATTGAACAGGCCTTTAACTGGGGAACATACAACATATACTTCTAATCAATGTGACTTGCTCTGTGACTCTGGAAAATCTACTAAGCCTCTCTGTTCTTGCCTTTCTTGGTTACACAATGGGGAGGATACACAGAAGGCAGTCTGCTGCAGAGATCAGAACTGTCAGTTCTAGGGTCAGACTGCCTGAGTCCCAACCGCAGTCATCTCAGCTACTTACCACAGTGCTACCATCATTAAGATGCTACAATCATGAAAGCTGTAGCAGACAATTTCCTCCTCTGTAAAATGGGCATAATTGAAGTAGTCTGTCATAGGGCTGTTGAGGAATAAGAGTGATGTGAAGAATGCCTGGCTCATTGTCTGCACCCTCTAAACATGACCTACCACTATCAGAAGGGCCTCTGTTGAGAGGCAAGGCTGAGCCGTTGCTGCCCATGTGACACTCACCTGGTTCAGGACCACCCAGTTGGGATCGATCTGGGCATCCCCTTCAGGATCCAGGACCACGGTCTGGTAAGCCCTGAAGTCGGTCAGGGTGACCTCTGCGTTCTCTGGGCAGACATCGATCCGATCGATGACCTGGTCCTGGTCAAAGTCAGACTCACAGATGTCTCCCACTCCGTCGCCTGAGTGGGGTGGAAAAGGACAGGGGCTCAATAGCGCTCACACCCACTGCCACTCCTTGGCAGGGAAAGGGGCTGCATGAGGAACAGAAGGGCTCAAGCTCCCACAACCAGGGCCATGATTTCCCATTAGTGTGGGGAGAGGAGCCCTGGGGTCATGTCTGAGCTGGTCCCAGGCCCCATCCTGGAGTCCTTGTACTGGGTGACCAGGCCAGTCCTCCCAGAGCTTTTAGAAAGATCAATTTGAACAGTTGCCCTCCACTCTGTCCCCATAAAAGTTCTTATTACCTACAGTTGGGTTCACCAACTGGTGGATCTTAAGCTTGACCTCACATAAGCAAACGTCTACAGCACTTTCTGGACTGTAATGTGTAGAAAACAGGGAAATTATTGTTACCAGAATATCTCTAAGACTAACTTCTGGTGGCCCCTAGACTGAATGTGGCCCCCACGTGTGTGTTGTTCAGCTCACATGCTGGCATTTTTGCATGTGCACTGCTGTGGACGGGCACGCCCTCTCCAGGTCACCGCAGTCCCCAACACTCCCTGCTGTCTCATGTCTGGCTTGGTGCAGACATTTTCTTATCTGCCTGGCCCCCGCAGGCATCTGTGTTTGTGAACCTGGCATATACCACTTCTGTGCCATTCTCTCTATCCTGCTCCTTTTGTGGGACTCCCAGTGGAAGGTGGCAGGTGGCAGGTAAGATGGGGGAGCAGCTCTCCAAGCCCTTTGGGAACTGAGCCACAGTGTGTGGCTGCTTCCCTGACCTGTGTGATAGCATCCTAGGGTTGTTCAGGAAGATGCAAAGCAGCTCAGTCCTGACTTAGTTGGAGAGTGGTGTCTACCAGATATCTGCTGTCCACACAAGCTGCAGCTATGCAGAGAGGCCGGGTATGGAGAAGCAGCTGATGGGAGCTGGGGATGTTCTGAGTTGGTGCCTGGAGAGAGGCGTGCCCCCACGTGCCTGGCTGAAGGGAGCACAGGGGTGCTGTGCGGCTTTGGGCTGAGCCTGCTTACTGTTGCTATCCTCCTGGGCTGGGTTGGGGACCAGCCGGCAGTTGTCTGGTCCAGGGGGCACCAGGTCTGGGATACCATCATTGTCATCATCATCATCACACTCGTCACCAATTCCATCCTTATCGGTGTCCAGCTGGGCACTGTTAATGACGGTGGGGCAGTTGTCTGTGCTGTCCTGGTGCCCATCTCCATCACTGCGCGAGAAAGGACAGGTGATGTGGCTCACAGTTCAGCCGGGAACAGGAAGGATCCATTCTTAGGAAGGAGAGTCTGTGCTTGAGGTTTTTTTTTTTTAAACCAGGGATGGCTTTTAAAATCAAGCCCACTGGGGTCATTCCCTAAGACAAGGCTGCCCTATGGGCCTCGGAGACAGCTTTTCCCATCCTCGCCCTCTTGAAACAAGTGAGTCATTTCCTACTCAAGAAGATAAGGGTCTATTTCTATGATTTGTGACCAGATGCTCCTATCAGTCCCTGGGAACTGCTAGATAATATTCAACTCAGAGGACGTGTGAGGGGAACAGAGTGATAGGCAGTGGAACCAGACAGCCCAGTGTAAATCCTGGCTCAGGCACTGGCCAGCATGTGACCTCAGGCAGGACATCTGACCTCTCTATGGCTCAGGGTCCTCATCTGTAAAATGAAAATAGTACCCACCTCAGAGGGTTGTTAGGAAGATTAAATGATGAAAATCAGGATTTTGCATATTAAATTTCAATATATGAAAAAGTACTGACTCTTAGGAAGCCCTGCAGTGTTTTCTGGATATTACTCTTCACAATCCATGGCTAGTGGATCCCATGAGGATTCAGACCTGAACGCCGTGGGGAGAAGGACTAAGTGAACAGGGTCATGCCTTCCCGAGGGGAGCATGTAGGCCAGGCTCAGTGCTGGTCTAAAGGACATCGCAGAACTCTCCTTCTCTGTCCACCTGACTTTCTGGGCTGAAAGGACACCTGAAAATGCGTCTGCCCTGCCTCCAAGAGGTGTCCTGGAGCCTGAGACCGCTCATGGTTACTCTGGAAAAGAATTAGTAGTCCTTTGGCCCTGGTCCACCTGCGGCCTGTCCTGGGCCAGGAGCTGCCCCTGCACCCTCTTGGAGAGGGGAGCCAAGGACCAGACCACGCTCTATGGCCACACTTTCCAGATGGTACACGGGGACAGAAAGAGTCCAGCAAAAGTGAAGCCAGCCTGGACAAGCAGAAGATGATGTGGCTCAAACAGCAGAATCCCTATGCATGCAGCAGGCTGCTTTATAAAACACAAGACTGAGCTATTTCCATTAGCAGCCGTTCTATAGAGCCCTGAACATTTTTATGCAAAAACAAGCAGTTCCTGTCCTCTTCTCCAAGGTTCAACTTTGTGGGAATTAAAGCAGAGCAGAATGAGTCATTTGTTTTGGGCAAATATCTAGAGGCTGGTGGGATAGGATATTTTAGAAATTAATGTAGATAGTAGTCAGAGTGCAAGATGACCTGCACCAGGGAACATTCTTGATGCACATTATTTAGGGCAGTTGTCAGGATACAGTCCCACCTTCCCTGCAGAAGAGGAGAGCGACATCTGACGTCAGGCTCTGTTGCTGACATGCCTTTCCTTGTACTGTGATACCAAGAATAACATGGCTCCTGCTTTCTGCATGTCACCCTTGGGCCAGTGCTGTGCCAGGAGCTTTATCTACATTATCTTGAATTTTCGCCATAACCTGTGCGATGCATTTATTTATCTCCTCTTTGCAGGTGAAGAAGCTGAGATGCCAAGAGACTGTGAAAAATGTTTAAGTTCACTTAGCTAGTACAGTCGGGCCTCTGTATCCGCGGTTCCATATCCGCAGATTCAACCAACTAAGGATTGAAAAGATTTGAAAAAGAACAATAAAAAATAACATAAAATAAGACAAATAAGAAACCATTGCAGTACAATAACTATTTACCTAGCATTTACATTGTATTAGGTATTACGTAATCTAGAGAGGATTTTTAAGGCATATGGGAGGACAGGTATAGGTTATATGCAGATACTACATCATTTTATATAAAGGACTTGAGTATTTGAAGATTTTGGTATCCTGGGGGCAGAGGGATGTCCTGGGACCAATACCCTGGGATACTGAGGGATGACTATATGTACTTTGCAGCAAGGACACACAGAATAATGAAAAAGATGCACACTTTGGGAGGCTGAGGCAGGTGGATCACTCAAGGCCAGGAGTTCAAGACCAGCTTGGCCCACATGATGAAACCGTGTCTCTACTAAAAATACAAAAATTAGCCAGGCATGGTGGCACACACCTGCAATCCCGGTTACTCGGGAGGCTGGGGCACGAGAATTGCTTGAACCCAGGAGGTGGAGGTTGCAGTGAGCTGAGATCACGCCAGCCTGGGTGACAGAGCAAGACTCCATCTCCAAAAAAAAAAAAAGAGAGACGTGGCTTCATAGGAGCTATCCTTGAGTAAGGTTTGGGTCAAGAACTGGTTTCTACAGGGCAACCTCTGATCCAGGTTATCAGGAGAGAAATTACCTCTTTTTTTGCTTTGTCTTTCAGAATCCTTTCCCTCTCATCCTTGCCCTAGCTGCCTTTGTAAGACTTCCCTAAGGAGATGAAAGGGTTTAGAACCTTGGGTTGCAGGTGCCTCTAGGGCTGAGTGGCACACGTCTGTTTTTGGTGATGTTCTTCCAGTATCTGATCAGTTGATCCAGCCTTGAGTCTTAATGTAGGACTCCATCGTGTTGAGCTAGGAGGGTTGACAAAACTTACTTCCACAGAACAATTCCACTTAAGTAAGGGAAACGGAATTTTAAAAATTTCAAGGAAATTTCCAGAAAATCATAGCAATCCCTCAGCAAACTGACAGCCTTCTATTTTGGGACGATGGTGAAGTTTTCCTGAGCTGAAAGATGATAAAAATAAAAGAGCTAATATCTACTGAGTGCTATGTATGTAACAGAAACCATAATAAGCACTTTCCATGGATCAACTCCATCTTCGCGACGGTCCTATGAGCTAGATCTACTGTCATCCTCATTTTACAGATGAGAAAATTGAGGCACAGAAGTACTAGGTAATAAGTATTAGTATAAGGTTAGCTGGCATGTAAGAGAAGGAGCTGAGATTTATATCTAGCTGTCTTATTCCAGAGCCCATCTGTGAAGCATGATGCTATATTACCTCTCCTGAAATAGATCTCACTTGCTGGAGTGCCTAGTACCCTATTCTGACACTGTTATCCCCTATACAGAACTTTCAGGGAGAATTTTCATGGTAATCCTGACCAAAGGCAGGGCTATTATCCCACCAGCAGCTCAGTCAACCCAGAGAGATCCCAAGGAATGGAGCGGCAGGAAGTTCTGAAATTTAAAACCCTCTCTGGATGTTGCATCTGGCTCTCTACAGTTGGGAGACATGCCATACCTGTCCTGATTGGTGTCACAGGAGTCCCCAACCAGATCATTATCCACATCAGACTGCAAAGAGAACAGCGCATGTTATTTATTCCTGGGCTTGCATGTACAGAATGTTCCAGAGAAGGCAGAACTCACCCATTATCATTGGATTTGGGGAATTATTTCTCTGGAACTGGGGTGGTGCAAAACTGCAAAAGGACAACACCATATTGGTGTAGGCACAAAGCTGAATTTTCAAAAAAGCCTTCTAAAATATCAAGCTACATGGATGGGCTGCCCACACACCAGATGAGCTGATTGGAAAGGGGCGCTGGGGCAGCATGGTGGCAGGTGGAGGCATAGAACTCCGGCATGGGTCAGAGGGAGCCAGCCATAGGTACGGGGAGAAGACAAGTTGATTTTGCTTTGCTGTTGCAATTTGAAATTTGGCCAAAATTGTGAGTGGGTCACAGAGGGCAACCATGACTCCCATCTCAGGGCTTTAAAAATAAATGACACATCATACCCAATTATCCAGACAGGAAGGAGGAGTGAGAAGGGAGATGCAACACATCACTGGCTGAACTTAATCTGAAATGTCCATACATAGGCTGTGTAGGGGTTTAGGGACTAAAGGGACACAAGGCTCCCAATGGTTAATTTCCATGTTCCATTTTCCTTTCTGCAGGAGAAATACTTGTATTGAGCATCATGAAGCTCGTGTTGCTAACCTCACAGGCAATCGACAGCCTGGGAGATAGTCCCTAGGGCTTCAGAGCTCGTGTGGTGCTCATCCCACCATCTTCAGGCCCACAGTGTGTCCTTTCTCCGCCTCTGCTTTGTTAGGTAAGTGGCAACAGCTAAGAGGCTCTGCTGTTTTTCTAGACACCCGTCTTAAATGAGTCTTTGCATAGAGGAATTCAGCCTGGAGTTTGAATTCCCCAGTATCCTACTAACCTGGTTAGGGTTGCTGATATCAGGACAACTGTCACAGGCGTCCCCCACACCATCACCATCCTTGTCCCGTTGGTCACGATTGGGAAATCTTGGGCAGTTGTCCAGAATGTTTTTTATTCCTGTGAGAAAGAAATGCTACCTTGAGTCAGGGGGATGTCACTGACTTCTAGGTGCTGGAGAGATCAGGTACATGGTGAGTCGCTTCTGCCTGGGCCAGGGTCACACAGGGACTAGCCTTTTCAGCAGTTATCCAGAGGTAGCTTCAAAGGATGGATCCTGGGAGACTTAACAATGAACAGCTCTCAGAGGTATTTGTCGACTGAATTCTAATTTGTCCAAGATGTCAAAGGCTATGATAGCAACCAGAGGAGGGGATCATGATGGCTGTATGGGCTGACCCTGGAGAGGGAGGATCTCATGGGTATCTGAGCTATGACTGAGACCCTAGGGCTCTAGGCAGTGTTGTGTTGGAGCTGGTCCATTGTGTCCCTCTCTCTTTTCAGTTTTGTGTTTGATGATGTCACATTGGTAGCTTGAAATCAGCAATGAGGACAGTATGGAGTTACCTCATGGAAACTGGCAAATGCTACCAACCAGGGCTTTCTGTGGTTTGTTTACCAGCACACCACTGGAAGTGGGTCATCAGGTAGGCTTGCAGAAGGTGAGGTCATGTTTTAGGGGGGGTGCTCAATGCCTTCTCATTCAGTTCTTCACTTCTGGGTCTCTCACGTGTAGAAAGTCTAGTAGCGAGTGAGGAGAGGTAGAAATGGGAAGGGAGATGCCCACGAAGACACACCCTGATAAGACACTGCTTGAAGGGGTCCTACAAAGTTTCTGGCAATGATACAAAGTCCTGGAAACATCCAGAGCCATTAAGTAGTGGAGTGGGCTGTGGAGTCTCCTTCCACAGACACAAGTCCACCTTGGGCCCTCCAGATGCAGGCCACAGTGAGCCACCCACAGCTGGAAGGCCCTGAATCAGTCATTCTATTCCTACTCTGGAGAGAGAACAATGGAACAAGGTCAATTGAATCCCAGATAAAAGACAAAAGCAAGATAAATCTACCATCTCCATCCATGTCATCATCACAGGCATCTCCTCTTCCATCCCCATCTGTGTCTTTCTGGTCATTATTTAAGACACTCAGGCAGTTATCACAGGCATCTCCAAAGATATCTTTATCGCTGTTCCTTTGGTCCACATTGTGAATCAGGACACAGTTATCCTAAAAGATGAAAGGATAGAACATCACTCAGACTTTTACTAAATCCACTTCCCCCATTGTTAAGAAGCGTCAGAACTCTGGTGGCCCAAGTTTGTCAGTTTCATATTTCAAACATTTGTGAATCTTAAGGAGTAAAAAGCTGCAGTGCTGTGGAATGCAGGCATGGAAACTAACATTTGGGATGATTCATATACACAGTTGACTTCACAGGCTTTCTCCCATCATCCCTGGTACATGGCAATTCACAGGCCCTCCCAGCAAAGCAGGTACCTGCTCATTCAGGATCCCGTCTCCATCAGCATCCTCGTCACAAGCGTCGCCAATGCCATCTCTGTCTGCATCTTCTTGGCCAGAATTTGGCACATACTTGCAGTTGTCCTTAGGGGGAAAACGCAGTTCTGAATGACATCCTACATTTGTGTTAAGCTAGTAACTGTTTCTGACCTCAACACACTGTGGCTTTATTGTTGGTGACTGTTTCACTTCATCTGAGATGCAGCTACTTTACAAGTGCAATTTTAAATTAGATCCATAGAACCTCTCCCCATAGAAGATGTGACTTTGGAAAGCCACAGTGCATGTGTGCCTACTGTCACCCCAGCACCCCTTACCTTCTTACAGTTCCTGGCAGAGCATGGCAGTTCTTCATCAGGGTAACTGTCGATGTCCACATCCTTTCCACAGACATAGCCATCGCCAGCCCAACCGACTCCACACTGTAAAGGGAAAGCCCATCAGAGGCCTGGGAAGCTGAGCCTGGCAGGGAGCTGGGGGCTGACAAGGGCCTCTCTGCTCCTTTGCTCATTCCCAGGGGGAGGGCCCAGAGTCACTCAGCCTTGTTGGGTGGGGCTTAGAAACTATTTAATTGCACTTGAGTAGTGTGATGGTTCCCTATTCAAAAGATGTAAAGGGAGACGTAGAGAGAAAACTCTCCCTCCCACTCCCACTTCCGCTTCCAGAACAAGCAGAGCAGCAGAAGGGAGACGGGAGGAGGGGACCCAGAAGATCACAGGGAACTGGAAATGCAGAGGGACGGAAAGCTGACCTGGGGTGGGAGATAAAGGAGGGAGGAGGGAGAGAGTCTGAGGAGCAGAGTCTGGGCCAATGGAAATCAGACTTATGTGAGCACAGGTTAAATTTCCTGGCCTCACCACCCAAAATAAGGAGCTTCCAGACCAGTGACTTCCTCAGCCGCAGCCTGCCTATTCTCAATCATCTGTGCTCTCCCTCTACAACCAGGATTCAGGAGGCAGGACTCCAGAGAGACCCTACCGGGCTCCTGGTTCCTGCTCACTCGCCCCAGCAGGGCCTTTGGAAGGCCTGGAAGGTTGATCCATGAGGTTGGTCCTTGACTCACTTTAATGAGGAAAAAATGTCCTCTAGGAACAAATACATTTTTAATGAGCCATTTTCTGGCAGATTCAATTATTTTAGTAGTCACACCAAGTTTATTAATCCTTTACCATCTGTCGTTGTGCCTTATTACAAATTCAAAAACATATTAAAAGCCCCATCACCCACCATCCCAGGGGAGTTGTCAATTTGTTCACAGAAAATGGGGATTTCAACAGAGATATACACTTGCTTCTCAATGACTGCTTTTTGGTAATAAACAAGCCCAACCATGAGGAATTCAGGAACTTGCTGGGGTTATTCCCTCTCTGATACAGCACATTCCTCCATCTGACCTTGTTACAGAATATCTGTATTGCCAAGGAGGGCTGACTTTATTATATTTATTTATTTAACTCATTTTTGACTCTTATTTTTCCTATTTGAAAAGTGATAGGCTCATTGTGGAAAACTGTGCATGCATAAAGATAAAGAAGCATAACTTTGAGACAAAGAAGATGGAAAAGGGCTCTAAGAATCCATCATGCTGCTCAGGGGTGATCACTGTGAACCGGTGAATCCAGAGTCTGACAAGCCACCTGCCAAAGGCCTGGTACCCCGGGAAGTGCAGAGGAGGGGGGCAGCTGAAGTCTGCTGATTTTTCAGTGCCTAGGGTCCCCAGGACTTTGGATCCTTGGATTTGGGAATGGATGGCAGGCTGAGGACTCTGGATCCTTGGATTTGGGAATGGATGGCCGGAGCGCACCCTCTCCTTCACGTAGGGCCCACTACAAGCTCAGCATGAGACCCATGTCAGGCCCTGCTGTGACTGCTCTACTCTCTTCCCAGTCTCCCCTCCCCAGACCAGCTCCAGGGCTGGATAATGCACAGGAGGCGTGACCATTCACGGAGCTGTCCCTGATTGGAGTGGAGGTAGACATAGAGCATGGCACCGTCTGGCCCCTGCCAGTCACCTGCGGGAGACGGGAGGTTTCTCCCCGAGGGCCTATGACAGCCCCCACATCTCCACGGCGGCCCATCCCCAACAGGAGCGTCCAGGCAGACACTGTGGAAGTCGTAAGGATGAGGACAATTAGAGATGACAGCAGGTATGTTGTCATTATACAGGCAAGTAGACGGGGCAGAAGAAGGAAAGCGGAGAAGAATGTTCCTTCACCTCCCTGCTGCTGGCTTCTGGGCCTTTCCACAGAAGGTGCTTGGGAGCTGGGGCTTCACTGGAGGCTCTGGCATTCAGGTGCCCAAGTAGACAGTGTTGCCCCACAGCCAAGAGGGAGAGAAAAGGCAGCTGATGGTTAGATGGATGTCAGGCTGCTCCCCACAAACTCAGTGGACCCTGTTCCTATTACACTGCATGCTCATTTTGATTGCAATGCTTTCATTTTGAAGTACTTTTACCCCGAAGCACGCAGAAACTGGAGAGAGGTGATGTTAAAAATGAAGGAGGAAAAATGATAGAGGAAGTCAAAAATGAAGAGGAAAAATGATAGAGGAAGTCAAAAAACAACTTACCACACATGTCACATCCCCCTGCCTCTCTTCAATGCACCGGGCATTCACACTGCAAGGGTTCAGCTCTGGGTTTCTGCAGTTTCTTTCCATTTTGCATCCTCTTATCTGATCACCAGTATACCCTGGCTTGCAAGGCCCACAGCGGTAAGATCCCTGCAGGGAACAAAGATCAGGTGATGAGCTGAAAGCTGTGAGCAAAGGTACAGTTTGAGCAAAGGTATGGTTATTGTGTCTATTTTCACAGGTACTCATTGCTGGCAGGATTCAGGCATCAGACCCCTGCCTGCCTCTCTGCTTACATGTAAGATCGTGTGAATGTTGGTGAAAACACCATCAGACTGGAGGCTGTGTCCGGCCACTCAGACAAACAAGGAATAGAAGTGAGGGAAGTAGGCTGCACAGTGAACCAGACACTGAGTTGCCCGTGCCACCGTGGAGGGCATAAGGGGAGAGGCCAAAAGTTCCAATGAAGTCCTGGGAGGTGGTGTGAGAAGCTTACTCTGGGGACAGGGAGATGATCTGCTTAAGAAGCAAGTTAATTTTTCTTCTTGCTGTTCCTTTGGCTCTTTTACAATGGAATGACAAAGGAATGGGTGCACAGAGAAATGCTGGTGGCCTGCATTGAGAATTTCTGATGAGGCAGACTGAGAAACTGACAAATGAGCTGTCAGCTCCACTGCAGTGACACTTCAGGGGCCAGGTTTTTTAGCTTTTATAGATATAATATATATATAATATATATAATCATACTGCACACGATATATGTAATACATATTATATAATATATAAAAATCAAAATTAAAATTTTCATTGTTATTGAGGTAAAATTGACAAAACTGAATATATTGAAAGTGTGCAGTGTGATGATGTGATATACATATACATTGTGAAATGATTACTAGTCAGTTAAGTAACACATCCATCAACTCACATAGTTGCCTTCCCCTTTTTTCTTTTTCAGTGAAAACACTTAAGATCTGCTCTCTTAGCAGATTTCATATCTATAACATGGTATTATTAACTAAGTCACCATGCTGTATTTTTCATCTTATGCAGTTTTATTGGCATAAAATTTATAGATCGTAAAAGACATCCATTTGAAGTATGCAGTTTAATGATTTAAGTCACTCACAACCTCTTAATTGCCACATCCAAAGCACGCTTTCCAACGACCTGTCTCAATCTCAGCCTCCCTGGCGATGCTGCCCACTCGCTCCTTTTTCTGGCTTCTGCTCTTTTTCCTTGGCCTAGTCCTTCATTTTTGGGGTTTCCTGGAGTTCTATTTACTGTCTACTTTCCTTCTCTCTAGGTGGCTCAGTCATTACCTTTACACCAAGATCTCGCAAATCTATTTGCAGACTACTTTGTCCTGGTAAAAGCTGAGAAGCAATAAATCCCCATCTATTCCTAAGCAATATAGCATTGTGGAGAAGAACTCAGGCTCTGTAGCCAACCTGGAAGTCTTCTAAGATGTGTGACCTTAGTATAAATACGTAACATTTCTTCTTTTTCTTTTTGGAGACAGGGTCTCCCTCTCTCACCCAGACTGGAGTGCAGTGCCGATCACAGCTCACTGTAACCTCAAACTACTCTTGGACCAAAATGATCCTTCAGCTTCAGCCTCCTGAGGAGTTGGGACTATAGGAATGCTCCACCATGCCTGGACTTAATGATGTAATATTTCTGTGCCTCAGTTTCTTCAATTGTAAAATGTGGATAATAATAATACCCGTTTATGAGGTTGTTGTGAGGATTAAAATAAGTGACTCGATAAATGTAAAGTACTTTTACTTACAAGGAAACAAGGAACCTAGAGGTTGGAAAACTTTCAAATAGTCATACACGTAATCAGTAGTTCTTTTCTTGATAGTCTATTCTGGTACATCTTTTATCTCGGACATAGTTTGACAGGAACTTTCAGAAATAAAACCCATATCTGAATACTTAAGTTATAGCCATCCCTAAGTGCTAAGCACTTCAATTTAATACAATGAAAAGTTTTGAAAAGTTTTATTTTATTTTTTTTTTTTGAGACTGAGTCTGTTTTTTTTTGTTTTTGAGACTCTGTCGCCCAGGCTGGAGTGCAGTGGCACGATCTCGGCTCACTGCAAGCTCCACCTCCCAGGTTCACGCCATTCTCCCGCCTCAGCCTCCCGAGTAGCTGGGACTACAGGCGCCTGCCACCAGGCCTGGCTAATTTTTTTTTTGTATTTTTAGTAGAGAGAGGGTTTCACTGTGTTAGCCAGGTTAGTCTCGAACTCCTGACCTCGAGATTGAAAAGTTTTATGAAAATAAAGAATGACATTTGGGGATTGTGTAGTCACCAGTAAAACACTGAACTATTAACATAAACTACCAAGCTCTTCACAATTTTAAAATACAGGAGTAATAATTTATTCAATAAATAGTTATCTAATGGCCTAATATTGCAACTTTGGTAGAAAATAAAGGACAAACTTGGCACTTATAAAAGTATTCTTACATAAAAATTACTTATATACAGTTACTCATATTAAACACTTCATTAGCACAAACTTTTGCCCTTATTCTGCCAATCAAATATATTATGCCCGCATGTTCTAGGTGTGTTTGGAAGCTATGGTCTATACACATACACTTGTTTTAATAGCCAGTTCTGCTTTGATAACAACAGCTGTGAGAAATACTCACCAAAGTATTAATGCAGATCGAGTTGGAAACGCATGCTCCATTTCGACACTCATCAATGTCAGTGCAGACCTAGTGCAGAAAAGTTCAAAGAAACTTTAGCGAGACATGCTGCTTAAATAGAAATGCAAATAAATCTCCTTTGTTTTGCTATGTGTGTGTGAAGATGCAGAATTTCAGGTAGAATGGTCATCTGAGGGTTATTTGTGCCATCTCCCTGCATTTGTACCAGTTTGTACTTAATCTAATTGCAAATGAGAATTGCTTTCATGGCATTGAAAGTTATTCAGAAAAGACAACTTGTGTAATTCATCTGTTCCACCACCTTGTTAGGTTAGGAAAGTTTTTTTTATCTTGCTTGGGACTCAGTGTAGTTCTCCTATCTGAGGATTCTTAGCTTTTTTCAATTCTGGAACATTCTCGGTTTCCCCCAACTGCTTTCTAGTCTTTCTTTGGAACTACAGTTGGATGAATATTGGACTTTCTCGTTAATATCTTCTTTTGACTCCTAACCTCTTGTTATATGCTTCATATCTTTATTTCTCTGTGCTGTGTTCTAGATGATTTCTTTAAATTCACCTCCTAGCCTATGAAATCCCTGCGAAGCTGTGTCTAATCTGTTTTGCCCATCTATTGAGTTAAGGTCAATGATTTTCACTGATAAAAGTTTTATTTGGCTGTTTTTCAAACTTGTCTGCTGTTTTTCAAACTTGTATGTTTTTCTCACATCGCCCTACACTTTTGTTGTTGTTGAGACAGGGTCTTGCTCCGTTGCGCAGGCTGGAGTGCAGTGGCACAATCACAGCTCACTGCAGCCTCGACTTCCCAGACTCAGGTGATCCTCCCACCTCAACTTCCCAAGGTAGCTGGGACCACAGGCACGCACCACCACACCCAGCTAATTTTTTTGCGTGTATTTTTTGTAGAGATGGGATTTTGCCATGTTGTTCAGATGGGACATTGCCCTGTTCTTTAAGTATGGTATTTATTTCTTTACCTTTTTATATTTACTTTATATTTATCATGTTTCCTCATGGTAGTTTCTTTATATAAACTGCCATTTTTGTTTATGAGCATATCTTCAGTAGCCCAGATTTTGCCTGTGGGCATTCCACTGGCCCTGAATTTTGGCGTGTCTTTACAGAGTGGTGTGTCTTTGACTTGAGACAGGGCCCTGGGGATTTTACCTTTTCATGGCTGGTTATGATTTTAATTTTTTGGCTTGTGTTTCTGCATTTTATGTATAACACAGATTTGGAACTCATAACTGTATGTGTTCCACACTGTATGTGTGCCACATTTGTTGTGGGTAATTTTCATTTTTGTCAAGCATGTCTTAAAGCTGAAGTCAAGCTTCTTTATTGTTTCTTAGGGCTAGTCAAGTTTTCCTGTCTCCTTGTAATGGATACAGTGGTTCTTTGAGGGTCCTGGACTTACGCGGGGGTGTTAGGCCTTTCCAAAGTTCCCAGACTCCATTGCTGCATCCACTCCACACAGGGGGTAAAAGCCAGGTCCCCGTTCCTAGGACCCGGACCTGGCTCCCACCTCCCAGGATCTGCTGTGGCATCAGTTCTTAGTCACAGTTCCGGCTTTGAGTTTTCTCTGTTTCTGGACACTGCGTCATTTCCTTTTATTTCTTTTCACTTTGGAATGCAGTAACATTTGCTGTTAAATTTTAGCAAGGTGGCTCCCTCCCACTTCAGTTCTGTCTGCCATGTTACTGGAAGTCTATTGAGAAGCGTTCCTTACTACCTTACACCAAATACCTTATATTTTGTTTTGTCTATTTCCTTGGTTTGTTCTTAGAGATTCTGTCTTTAGAGGACTCTAACAGCCTCTTGTCATTCCTATATGTCTAGCTTGCCTACCTTTTCTAGTCTAAAAAATCATGCCCTCTAGAACCCTTTGATAGGCAGCTAGGAAATAATAAGCCCCTGCCCTTCTTCAAAGCTAATAATTTCTCTAAAGTAGTAAAATATATTTATAGACCAACCATTTTTAAGGGCTAAAAACATCAAAAAGAATTTCACAGTCAGTCAGTTAAATAATGACCAGGATATAGTAGAACATTTGGAAATAAATGGAGACTGTCAAGAAGTACTCAAGTGCTTTATGGCAATTTATAGCTTACATAAGAAAAAGGGGAGGTTGCCTTGGGGGATTATTTCTACTCTTAAAATCCCCTCATCTCTGAAACAGCTTCGGATTGGCAACAATGACTCTATAAAAATGACCTAATTTTTCAAAGCTTTTGTTTCCCTGGTTCTCAACTTATTCTGCAGGACAAAATGTTCAACGGCCATCAACAAAATAAGCCTGAAATTATGACAATAGCCATATTACCCCTTTTACTGTTTTTCCAGTAATACTCTATTATCCCATCTTAAAAGCTTCCTCCCTTCTAGGTTTTATAAATGTAAATACTTAGAAATGGTTGAAAAACTTCCTGATTTGCTCATTTTGCACCATGACATTCCACATGGCCTTGGCTGCTCAAGGAGGTCAAGGGTTACACCGAAGAGGTGGGAACCAACCACAGTTGTTCTGTTAAGATGAGAAATGAATAGAAACCATGACTTCAGCCTACCTGCTTGTTTGACTTGGCAAAACTGATCCCAACACCCTGCACCATGGGCCCTGTGAAGCCTACTGGGCAGGCGTCACATCTGAAGCCAGGAGACAAATTCACGCAGCGCACGCCTGGGTAGCAGGGATGGTATTTGCACTGAAGACAAAAAAGTCCAAAGTCTTTAGCCACACCGAGAAAACACTCCAACTTTTCTTCATCTATTTGCACATACTTGTTTAGTCATTTAACTATCTTTTGGTGGAAAAAATAATAAAAGGAAATAAAGGCTTCCAAATCCAGTTACCCACTGAATCCCTGACTACACAATCTAACGTTGCTTTTTAGTGGGCTCTGCTGTATTGTAGAATAATGGCACATCTATGTTGAAAGGGTCCTTGATATTAACCAGCCTACCTCTCAATGTAATAAGCTCCCTGATATTCTGACACGGAATTTGCAAATCTCTGTGAAAGGACTATGTCCCTGGACCACTTAGCTGGCTGTTAAGATGACTCCAAAAGCATCAGCAAACCAACTACTCAGTCAGAAAGACCTTAAGAAGGCAAAGCCAGGGCCGGTGCCTCTTCAGTACCACATAATCCCTCAGGGCCTGTGCCTGCCTCCATGTCCTGTCAAGTCCATGCTATTCCAAGGCTCTAGGAAGCTTGGAGATTGGTTTTTTTTTTTTTTTTTAATCCACTTCAACTAATGTAAAAAACATGACCACTTCCTGCCCTTTCAGAAAGAGGAAAATTCCAGCTCACAGATAAAAACCAGATGCAGTTCAGTGAAATGTGTGCAGATGTTTCTCCAATTGAGGGATTACTAGAGACCATCTTAATTGCTTACTACTAGGGAAGGTAATCAGCTGAGTGTTACTAAGGTTACCAAGGGCCTGCAGGAGCCCCAGGGAGCCAGTGTGCCTAAGTTCCCTACCTGTGTCTCTCTCCTGCGCTTGTCCTTTCAGCCTTCCTCTGGCTGGGTGGGAAGAGAAGGGCACATTGAAGGCACATTTTGGTGGCAGCCTTGCTACCTGCTATGAACATTACTTTGCGACTAGACTGATGATTGCCTAACCATGTTTTTTGTTTGTTTGTTTTGAGACAGGGTCGTGCCCAGGCTGAAGTGCAGTGGTGCCATCATGGCTCACTGCAGCGTCAACCTCCTGCCTCAGGCAATCCTCCTACTTCATCTTCCAGAGTAGCTGGGACCACAGGCACATGCCACCATGCCCCGGTAATGATCATATTTTTTGTAGAGGTAGGGTTTTGTCTTGTTGCCCAGGCTGGTCTTAAACTCCTGAGTTCAGGTGATCCTCCCACCTCAGCCTCCCAAAGTGTTGAGATTGCAGGCTTGAGCCACTGGGCCTGGCCTGCCTAACCATGGTGTTGAAACAGTCTCTTCTGGGGCTCTGCCAGCCGGTCAAACAGCTGGATGTGCCTCCTCCGGGGC